TTGTGGTACAGGAAATCAGCACTTGCTGTAGTACCATCAGGAGTTAATAAGCTGGGAGGTGTCGTGCAAAGATGAGTCATGAACATCAGCTGGCACAATCACGTCTGGAAAAGTGACCGTTTTACTTCCACGATTCACTACGCTCAGAGTCACACGATTCACTACTCTCAGAGTCACATCTCATCTCATGGCTCTCCCAAGACAGTACTAAATCTAATTTCATGCAGTGTGTCTTATGCAGGATGGTCTTTCCCAGTCTTAAGGAAAGAATCCCTAACTACGATCATTTCGCTGAATGATATGAACTTCATTTGGTGGACTGCATTTTCAGAGGCTTTTCTGTAGTTTCCATACTGAGAACATGAGTGTATATTTTTAGCCGTAGTGTTTATTCTGGGACTCCTCTAGGGAGATGTAAATCGGGGTTAAGATTCCTAAATGAAAGTATCCACAGGAGAATGACTAGGGGTACTGCAGCTATCTGAAGCTCCCGTTCCAGTGAACGGAAGTCCAGCCAGCGTGGTCAGTGGAGTCCAGAGAAGCGATTTAGTTCAGCCTAAAGAATGTTTATCTCTTCGTCGTACTTAACGCTTAGTAGAGTATGCTAAAAGATTTAAATCCTAAGATATCTGTAGATAACGGTGGAATTTTTGCAGCTCTGAAAATGACAAGGAAGAATTGGAACTGTTTTAATATTACCTTATAGATAAGCCCATAGGAGCAAGGACTTCCCAGCTCATTCACAAACTTTCTCAAGTTATCAGTCTCTTGATTGGACAAAAGTTTCAGGACAGCGCCACAGGAAATGGACCACTTACTTTCAACACCCTTCGCATTTGGAGTGGTCAAGAGAAAATCCACGAAAGTGGTTACAATCATGAGGTGAGAAATGACATGTCAGCAAAATTTAATAATGCATTGATCTTGACCTATGTTGCTTATCAGTTACTTCCTTGGTAGCAAGTTAAAATATTAGTTTGTTAGGTGATCGTGATTTTAATTTTCATTAGAAAACAAAATGAGCAAGTCTAAGACACCATTAGTGACGTTAGGGTGGAGTTTGGTAGCTGAAGACCTGAATCATTCTATATCTAAAAGTCTATTTTTATAGTTTTTTTTTTTGTTGTTGAGCTTTGAGGAATGGTGAGATAGGTAAGAATAGCTCCTCTCTGGAGAATCAGTGAAGATGTCTAATGATCCAGATAGATAGTTTTCCATTTATTTTAATAAACCAAATGATACCGTTTTTCACACTTCCCTAGTGAGACGGTTAAAGCTAGTACAATATTTAGCACTTTGTTTAGGCTAAATACCTATGGAAGAAAAATTTGAGAGACCAGACACAAAGTTTATCATCACACCACAGAGTAAGGAAATATTTCATTATGGTTATACTTACTTTTAATTTTTATGTATGAGGAATATATCCATTGCAGCCTTATCTTCCTGAGCTTAATACCAGCCTGGAGACTGCACTCCCTGCTGAAGGCAGAGATTTATTCTCTGATTACTTACTTGATGTTTATTTCTTCTCTATACCTTTTAGGTCGTCTTTAACTTGATGGTTTTAGATGCCTGGGCTTCTGCAGCATCAGTCAGACTTCTCTACCTACTGCAGTTTCTTTGCGTCTTTCACCACAACAATTGGTTCACTCACAATATAAAGTGCTTCAAATATGGCAAAATGCCACTTTTGCCCCTTATCAAGTCAGGAAAGCTTACTAATCTCAGTCAAGTTATTTGTCCATCAGGAGATTCCGAGAGCTTTAGACTTCTTTTCCCTTGTTTCTCAATGTATCAGCAGCTTACAAATTTTATGGTGATCTATATTCTCACTCTAAACAAAGCTCACTGTTCAGGAATTTTGTAAATCGTACTTATTTTAACTGAAAACAACAATAAGGATTGAAACATGGGCTGTGTTATATCTCCTGTGCTTTCATAAGCTGCTGTTCGTTGTATCATGATGAACAATGGCTTCGTGGCAGAGATTTGTCTTTTTACTATGAAAGTAAGCATAGTTGTGACGTGGTTCTGGACTTTGACCCATAAACGCAAACATTTTTTGTGTGCATGTGCAGCGGTAGTTAAGGGTCAGTGCAGGCTGAGTTTTGTATGAGGGAAACCATTAGCTTTACCAGCTGATTTGCCCTCCTTTTCACTTCTGATCATTTTAGAATTACTGAAACTCATTTTTACACAATGCCGTTAAATTCAAAGTCTCATTTTTAAAAATAACATAGAAATCTATGTTTTATTGACAGCCCTCAGGATTTAGTTTGCCCGGTGGCAGATTTGAAATTGTATTCAGTCATCTACTAATACAGTCAGGTATTGAGTTGGCCTTTCAGAAGCACCTCAGTACTGAACTGCTATAATGAGGCTGGCAAAAGTCTTCAAGACTGCTTCCCAGTCCCACCAAATAAAGATTCTTTTCTAGCTTGTTGACTGCCTAATGTACATCGTAGGCCTGTAGGTGTTTCAAAAGTTGAAAGTACGTGTCTGTACAAGGAAAAAAACAAGGCAGTTCTTGGTGATGGGGAGTCTCAGGGCCTCTGCATACCTCTCCAGTAATACAGAACCTCTACGAAGATTGCTGCAGGACAGAGTCTCTGAGGAAACATGACATTAAGCAAAACGTTTGCTCTTCTGTAAACCTCCTTTGACTCTACGCTTACTGAGGCAAACTCTCCCAGTCTGTCATTTGCAGGAGGATTAAATACATATTCCTGTTTAGAATCACGCTGCTGAAAGATATTTGACCTCCTTCTGTATAAAAGCTGATGGATCTTTTTTAATAAATCTGTTTCCAACCGGGCTACACAATAAGGGCGTGAGGGAAAGAAAGCTGGGGGTAAGCAGAGAGGGGTACTGCAGCATATGGAAAGTTTGTATAAAACTTATGATGTTAACATGACTTCTTTCACCTAAGGAGAACCTATAAACTTACCTATTTTCTCAGCCTACAAATTCCGTAGTATATCCCTGGGGATGGCTGAATGGCTCAACTCAAAGGATTTTTTTAATTCTTGTAACCCTAATCTTCATCATTATTTCTAATTCCTCAGTACGAAACCAGAAATATTGATGATCTAATGCGTTTTACAGAGCAGCACACAACCTTCTTTATGGCACTTACATCATTATGTAATATGTTATAAAGCAACTTGCATGTTGTAAAACTCATTAAAAAGATATATTTTTTCTCTTAGCTGGAGTTCACGATGGCCAAAATTGAGGTGGAAAGCTATTAAAGCTCCAGAAATCCTAGCATTACACGTTCTTTTCAAATGTTCTTTTCTGCCCTCTTACTTGGTGTTTTCTGTCACATTTTCAGTATTTCTGATGTGGGTCTATTGAGAGGTAATTTCTCAGCACGGCAGCTGAAGTAAGACTCCTATGGGATTAGTAACCCAACCTTATAAATCGTTACCTGGTTTCTGTCATTTACCCTGATTTGGTCAGGACAGTTGCTAACTGAATGAAAATGGCATGAGCCAAACTGCAGGAAAAATGATACTGAAATATAAATATAAAATATAAATTAAACTTTTACTAAGAATATTGGATAAGTTTTAACACTTGTGCCTTTATTGTCAGAGCTTTATTTGTCAGTGAGGTGCTGGCCATTTGTCTGGGAAAACCACAGGAAAGGATAGTAACTTGAATATTTTTTAAATGCCTTCTTTTTTTAACCTCTTACTGTTTTTAGAACTTCTCAGATTCCTCTGTTCACTGTACTCTGCATATGCTTGTGTGTGTATCTGTGCTGACTCTGTGGGGATCCTCGGCCACAAGCGCAGACAATTAGCAGGGCGCACATGCTTCCTGCTCTAGTTGTTGAGAAAAGTAGGCACTACTTCATTACATTGAATTATCAGAAGGAATACAGATCAGTTCTGTTCCCATTGAAACTGTTTGATTTCAGAAGGGCTAAATTTCAGCCCTGGATTGTAATATGTTCTGCTAAAAATGACCATCTGCCAACAGCATCCTACTTCACTTGTAATTTAGAAAGTAGCATAGCCTGTCAAAGTTAGCAGCAAAGAGGCAAATCTTGCTCCTGCAAAGGCAGAGCGGAAGTCACTTGGCTGAGAGTAGTGCCTCCCCTGTTCTCTGTGGTGGTCGTCCCGAACTGTATACATGCTTGCTTATACAGGCCACCCCAAAACAGTATTGATGTGTCTTCTATTTAATCTGGAGATAACCAGAAAGTTAAAACCTAAGCTGTGTCTTACTATTACTTTACATGCCACCTCACTCATGTTTTAATCTTTTTTTTTTTTTTTGTTTGGAAGAGATCCTGCCTTTATCTGGACTTGCAAAGATGCTGTCACTATGATGTAACCACTGCCCTGAATGGCGGTGTTCTTTGGATAGCCAGTGACACTGAGGCAATCCATTTTGCTTTCCCAGGCCTCTGCTGCTGAGATTCATCAGTCATGACAAGCATAAACTCCAGGTACTTACGGAAGAGGAAAAGTCCAGGCATAGAGCAGATCTTTATGTAGGATTCTCCATGCTGGACTGGGAGATAGATGATTAAACATATTGCAGCAGATTCATAATAGGAGTGTCATTTTTGCCTTCTGAGAAACATTGCTGCTGATTAAAAGCAATGCAGCTGCTTGGAGAGCCAGAAAGATACAATAAATTACAGGCCGTACCCTCTTAGTGCTCATTAAGGTGTTAATTAAGAAATGCTATCTTGAGGAGGCCTGCTTGAGGGAGACAGTCCTTCATATATGGTTTTGTAAACTGGTAAGCCAAGGACGAGAGATCCTTACTGTTCTAAATCTTGGGGTTTTAATGACGAGTTTGATGGTATTTATTGTTTTTGCTAAAGCTCCAGTACATGGAGACATTTAGCTACAGGAAAAACTCCACCTACCATTAAATTAAGTCCAGTCTTTGTGACTGCAAGGATAAGAACGTGGAGTATTTGCATGTGACAAGTATGTGTGGTTTTTGCTCACTCTCTGGATTTTATTTCTCAACAGCACCCAAATCCAATTTTGAGAGCATGGCGGATCTCATCTTTAGCCATCTCATCAGGAGACACATTCCTGTGGTAGTTAGTGTCCATACATCATCACGAAACAAAAGCTACTCCACTGCAGGGTAACAGTAAGTACCAAGGAGATAATTTCTCTATTTCCTTTCCTGTTGTGTGAAACCTGATTTATTTTACTGTTATCTCTGTACAATATTCTTCTCTTTAGTTTAATCCACATCAGGTTCTAATAATTTTACTGTAGCCCATCGAGTTAAATGAGGTGTATGGGGTGCAAGTGAGATTACAAGATCATTCAAGAATAGTTTTTTATATGCATGTAGTGGCTTTAGGATGCCTGCAAAGAGGCTGCAGAAACAGACTTGAATTAAAACTGGTGCGTCCGTGCTGTTCCCTAGTTAACGTTAGTTCATATTGTGAACCTATTTACCATTACCCAGTGAAGGTGGCCACGGTACTCTGTGTGTTTGTGAGATACTTCACAGAGTGACCATAAATTTACAGAACAGTAATAAGCCTGCTAGAGACAGGCCTAACAGTTTTCTTTGCTCAAGCTACACTTATTATTTTTATCTGTCTGTTTGTTTATTTATTTATTAAATCTGTGAACAGCCTCTTTGTATTGATTGGCTTGTTCTTGTTAGTGAAGGGTTAGTTGTGAGCTCCTGAGGTGCACTACAAAGGTCACTGTCCTCAGCTGTGCCCTCATGGACATCCTTCAGCTGGTGACAAAGCCGGAGGCCTGCTGGAAGGAAAGTGATGTTTCTATGTGATGCTGTGGAAAACTCTCTCTTTGGCTTCCACTAGGGACAAGGAGGGCATTTCTGAGGGAGGGCCTGGCTGGTGTGGTGTGTTCTTGGTGCTTTCCACCAGCGTTGCTCCACACCCTAGGCTCAGGAGAGCAGCCAGTGGGGTGTAGGGGTAGAGGGAGCACAGGGGGAAACAAGTGGAACAACTTTTCTCTGTAATTTATGAACAGCACTTTTCTCTTCATAAAGAATATCTTTATATCAACCAATTAATTTAGAGCAAGAGTATAAGCAAGAGTGTAAGAGTATAAACTTCAGAGATCATCTGAAGAAATGCCTTTAAAGTTTTCTTTCTTTCTTTCTTTCTTTCTTTTTTTTTTTAATACAGTCGCTTTTTTAATAAATCCCCCCTTCTCCTTCCAAGTGAATTGCTGGTGTTTGGGCTGTAGGGGGTGCAAGAACTCCACTGAAGCCTGCCGGTCTGAGCGGCGCAGCGGGCCAGACCTCGCGTTGAATAGGCCTTTATTGCCGCCACGGAGCCGCGGTTCTCTCTGAATCTGGCCCTGCAAGAGGAGATCAAATCGGCATGCGTTTTGATGGTGTAAGCTGCAATCCTAAACTCAAAGCTGTAAGTGAGATCTCAGCCAAGGGAGCGAGCTTGTATGCATCCTGTGAATCTCCCCCCACCAAGAATACACCGTGCCAAATAGGCAGAATTGCGTCAGTCCATTGTGGGAAGAGTTCACTACCCAGGACGAGAATGCCAAACCAGTTTCTTCTCCTAAGAAAATGTAGCCAAAGGATAAATGCAGTGTGTTATCCCTATAGAAAAAGAAAAAAAAAAAGTGTATTAACAATAAGATCGAACTACGATGAGGATTTTTCTAATTATGATTCCAGCTAGTATTTTCTCTTATCTGGGGAATGCTATCAGTGATGTGTCTTGTTTTTTTTTTGTTTTGTGATGTGCATCATTATTACTATTCATCTATTTTTAAATAGTAGTACACCTCTCTGTGGAACTCCCATGTTTTAGTATGTCACTTAAGAGACCACTCCATTTAAGTGATTGTCACTTAAATTAATCCTATTGTTTTGTGATATATCGTCTTCTGTGCTGCCTGGATTAGCTAGTTCAATGACAGTGACAAACATGCATTGCTTGTTGTTAGAGAGGGGAGTCTCACATGGGAAAACACCTGTACATCCAAACTGGGACACATGCATTCCCCACCAGAGAGAGGGAGAGTTTTAGCAAACTGGTATTTATTGCTTGTTCTTGCATGCATGTTGTGCGTGAGTGTGTGTGTATGTGGGTGGGGGTGGGTGTGTTTGTGAGATACCACAGCTTGACAACAGGAAATACGGTATTGAAGAAATGCTCAGGCACGTAAAGATGTTGCTCTCTAAGGATTAACACAGCTCCTCTGCAGTTAAAGTATGAATTGGTTATTTATAGCTCTGAATTTTGTAACACTGAAATTAGGGTCAAGTGTCCAAATATCAGCTACAAAAAAAAAAAAAAAAGGATCCAAATCTGCACAGACTGGGTTTAGAGTGTGAGACACCTTTTTAAAAAAAACAGTTTTGATCCCACAGAAGTAAGTGCAAAAGCATCAGGGGAGAAAATGAATTAAATATTTTTATTTGATTATATGGTATCGCATATTTAGGAAGGATGTTAAACGTATAAGCAGGGCTTCACCAATTATCACAGGTGTATGAGATATATTTATGAGGGAGTTATAATAGTTTTCGGTCTAAAAAAGATTGTTTTCACTGTGCTAACTCTAATACTTGCTATGATGTAAAGTGTAATTGCTCCTCAGAAGTAAGTGAAATTCATTACTTGTATCAGTTCACTTTACCTGAGGAAAAAAACAGTCAGTCAATTTCTGTTCATTTTTATTACTTAATTTATTCCAGAACAAAATTACAAATTCAGAAAACCTGTCAGAAATTAGTCTTCTGTAGGTAGACAGCGCTGGGAAAGAGTCATCTTTTTGCTGCAAATCTTTATTGTCTACAGTTGTCCCGAGATTCCTATTGAAAAATGAATCCCAAAGAATAAACTAGGTTTCATTATCAACACAAGGAGGAGCTTACAGTAGCATTCTAAAAGGTCTAGGAAACTTTTGCATTAACGGCTGTGCTATTGTTTCCAGTAAGAAATGGAATTATGTGAAACTGATCAGATCAGAAACTAGGTGAATGGCCCAGACGAATTTCCACAGACGCTTTTTGTAGGAATGAAATGTATTTGCACCCGGTTTGTTCCATTATTTTTCTTTCTTTTTCAGAAGCTACATGGTTCAGTTCTCCTAAAGGGTTGCAAAAACTGCATTTTAATCTAGCATATTTTCATTCACTACAAGGTAAATTTTAAGTGTGTTTTCTGTGAACATTCATATATACAGCATAGTTAAACAAATCAGTCATTTAGTTAAGAAAGAGAAAACTATCACTAGGTACATTCCAAGATTTCTTGGAGCTTCTAAAACTAAGCAATTGCAATTTCATATGTTAATTTTTGCTTGACTATGAATCCATTAGAAAAAATATGTTCCATTCATAGGTAATTAAGAAATTGGATCCATTTCCGGAAATGAGCATGAGGCAAAACATGAGGGGAAAAAACTTTTTAATTAAGTCTGTTTAAACCAACATGACTCTGCTACAGGGTGAATTAGGGCTTTTACATGTACGTGATACCTGTGATAATTATATGGGGACATCTTGCATTACGATATGTAGCTATATAGGCTTGATTTGTTCAGAGAGTCTTTTTCCTATTCCTTTTGTATGGGAGAACTGATGCTTTCAAATGCGTGTTTTATATTACATTACAGAATTTCATGAGTTGTTGTTTTTTTTTTTTCTTGTAGAAGTTAGAACCATTACCCATATGCATGATTTTGTTTGTCATTTTTCATCAGGAGCTGCCATAAAGTACATTTTAATCATATTTATTAAAAGCAGTTGCCTCTTATGATAAAGCTATTTTTGGACAAGGTGAGATAGACTTTTCTCTAGCAACTACTTCTGTTAATAATGACATGGGTTTTCCCGGATAAAATCATTCAGAAAGAATCATGGTTATTAATGATTTGCTAGATGAAAGCATATCAAAATAGAATTTTTTGAAACTCATAACTTTTATTCTATTTTAAATTTCTTCAGCCATGTGTTACACTTGTGAGCCAAAAACACTAAAACTTTTTCATCCTGATTAAAGATTGACGTGCATAACTCTTCATGCTTCGAAATGAAAATAAGCCTCTTAGAGCAATGGCTTCTAACAACCAAAGAGCCACTGAAAAATCACAAAGACGCAAGCAAGTCAAAAACACAAAAATTGTCTGTGACAATTTTATTAAAAAATAGGAATGAATGCATTAATCAAAAACAGTTAAGAAAATCCAAAGGCACTCTGCAAAGATATCTTCCAAAAAATTTTCAGAATAGCTGAAAAGAAACAGAACTGAGCCAGCATGTCATATGATTTCTCACTCAGACCCATGATAAAAGGCCTCTGAAGAATAAATTCCATAGGTTGAGTACCAGTGCCATTAAATATTGTAGGTGCTGGGGTTGTTTTCATTTTTCTTTTTCTGTTCCTTTTGAAGCTATTCACTGTGTGAATATCAAGTAACGTTTTTAATGCTGTGGGTGATACATCCTTCTTTTAACAAACTATTTTGCAGCTAGGACAGCTTTTCCATTGCTGAATACTGATATGGCTATAGGGAAAAACAAAATTCTCTTTTCCAATTACAGTTATTTATCTAACCTGAAACTCGGTGCTACAGATTCTGCATTTGTTCTGTACAAAAAATTCCCATTTGGATTCCAGAGTAAATCTGCACAAAGGGTGAGTCAAGAATTGCAATAGTGATCCACAGTGGAAATGAAATCCTTCCTATGTATGCTGCTGCTGTAGGCTGCTTCACCAGGATATCAGTTCTGAAACAGAGCCAAATTCAGCCTCGTGCTACCTCCTTTCAGACCTTTTGAACTCAGTGAAGCTATGGGAGGGTAAGGAATTTAGCTTTTGCTTATTATGAAGCTGTTTAATGCAGAATCCGTGGCAAAGAAGTACCAGCTATGAAATGTGAATGCCAAAAAATGGCATGACTTGGTTTAACCCACCCGTTACTTTACAATGCCGTGGACAAAAATTGGAGTTGACATTTCTCTTTGATCTGGTTTACCCATCTTGCTCTGCTGCTATCAGCAATGTATGACAGCAGCAGGCATGAGATAGGAAAGAGGGAACAAGGAAGAAAGAAATGTAACCCTCCCCATGGTCTTTATGAGAGCATAGTGAATTAGAGCCAGGCGCTACACTTACAGGTGCACTTAGAAAACAATGTCTTTCCCTCATCTGTCTCAGCAGCTGTGCTGCAGATCCCAGGATTTGGGAGAAATACAGTCAAATGGACACATTTTTTGCAAAATGAATAAATGAGGACAAAAAGACAGAAGACAGACATGGAAAAGTGTAATCTGCCTTACCCTGTGCTGAAAACACGAAGCTCTGTTTCACTCCATTTCTATAATCAATACAAATCTGGATGTGCATCTTTTTCATGCACGCATCCTCCTTCCTTTTGAATCTTGCCATATTTTTGGTCTCAGTAATAGAAAAGGAGAACAGGCTTGGTCAGAGGGATGAAGCAACATCGATGTGAGGAAAGATGTAACTTTGCAAAGAGACAGTTGAGATAGATAGAAAATGATAGGTACTGATAGTATAGTTGAATAATTTGGAGAAGGTGGCGAGGAAGCAACTTTTGGCATTTCCCATGATATAAGGTCTGGAGGGCACCCGAAGAAATCATTGGGAAGCAGATTTGAGCCTCATGCGCAAAAAGGATGCTGTGGACTCTATAAGCAGAGATTCAAATAAGGAGTGAAAGAATTCAAGGAAGGTAAATCCAGACAAGCTGGAAGCCAGAGAACTGTATATGCCTTTCTCTCATACTCCTTCCCTCAGTGTCCAGGGCTACTCTGCATAGCAGGGAGAGACAGATTCTCTGTCAACTGGTCTGGTCAATAAGATGTTTCTGTCGTGAGTTCCACAGTTTGTATGGGTTGCTGAAAAGTGTTTCAATTTGTAAGGTTCAAACACATCATGTTCTCTTACGAGGGGCTACTTGTGTTAATAGTTCGAGACAGTAGATACGCTGCTCCTTATTTTACCTTCATATTTAATATTTCATTGAAAAATGTTTATATTCCTATAACCATCCCATTCTCTGATCAGCTCACAGCTTTGTGATGTGCTTTGTAATGCTGAACATGGCATGCCAAATGCTGCAATTCATCTACCTAATAAAGCTGTATTTATTTTATTTTATTTTTTTCTTTCCAGACTATCAGCAGAATTAAAACAATACACAAAGCGTTTTAACTTATGGTTTCTTTTGCTTATTATGTCGTAATTTCTAGCACATTAGACAGACTTGTTTACTAAGGTCATTTGATTGGTCGGTGAATCAAGGCAAAAATAAGATGGAGAAAGCTGCTTCCCCGTGGGATGGCCCTAGCTTCCGGTGATCGCAGTGCCAGTTCTCTAAGTCACGGAAGTGCCTACAGATCAGCATCCTGGGGAAAGATCCCATACCTCTTCTGGGAAATCAGCCTGACTGATGCCTCTCTGAATTACCCCTACACTCATTCATGCAACATGGTAAGCAAACAGAAGGAATTAGAGGTCTGCATGCAGTTGCAGGGCTACAGCCTCACTGGGAGCACAGCAAAGCGATGGGATAGCTCACCCAACTAGAGTGCCAGATGGATACAGGCTCCTTAGGAAGGACAGGCTGGGAAGGGGAGGGGGGGGGGGGAAATTGCCTTTTGTGTGAGAACAGGAGGAACACATAGAGCTCTGATGATGAGCCAGTTGAGGGTTTATGGATTAGGATTGGGGGGCAAACCAGTGTGGGCTACATTGTGGTGGGTGTGTGCTATAGACTGCCTGATCAGGAAGAAGAACTCTTTCTTCTTCAGGCAATGGGAAGAAGCCTTAGGTTTGCGGGCCCTCATCCTCTTGCGGGACCATACTCGATATGTACTGGATGTGCAACACAGCAGGACACAAGCAATCCAAGAGGTTTCTGAAGTTGCTTAATGGGAACTTCCTGACACAGATGACTGATGGTCTGATGACGGGAGGTGCTCTTCTGGCTATGATACTTACAAACAAGGAAGAACTGGTGGAGGATGTGAAAGTTGGGGGCAGCCTAGGCCTCAGTGACCATGAGATGATGAAATTCAGGATCTGGGGAGGAAGAAGAAAGGTAAAAACCAGAGTCTCAATCCTGAACTGCAGGAGAGCAGACTTCGGCCTCTTCAGCGATCTGCTTGGAAGTATCCCATGCGATAACAGTCATGGAGAGAAGATGAGTCCAGGAGAGCTGGTTGACTTTCTTCGGTCACCTCCTCCAAGCTCATCTTGATGAGCAGGAAATAAAGCAAAACTGACAGGAGGCCTGCCTGGATTAACAAGGGAATACAGAGACACTATCTAAGCGTGCAGGAATAGAGAGTTAGGAAAGCTAAACTTCATCTGGAGTTGAAGGACATGGAGGTCAACAAGAAAGGTGTCTCCAAGTACATCAGCATCCAAAGGGAGACTAGGGAAAATGTGGGTCCTCTGCCAAAGTGGGCAGGGGATCTGATGACAAAGGACATGGAAAAAGGTGAGGTACTTTTTAAAAGCCTTCTGTGCCTCAGTCCTTTACCGGTAAGATTTACCCTGAGGAATACCAGGTTCCCAAGACTAGAGGGAAAGTCTGGAGCAAGTCTGGATCCTCCTTTTGTGGGAGGAGGATCAAGTTAGGGAGCATTTAAGCAAACTGGGTATGCACAAGTCCGTGAGACCTGATGGGGTGTAGCCATGAGCGCTGAGGGAGCGGGCTATCACTGCCAGGCCAGTATTGATTATCTTTGAAAGGTCATGATAATAGGTAGAGTTTCCTGAAGACTGGAAGAAAGCAAACGTCACTGCGTTCTTCAAAAAGGGCAAGAAGGAGGGTCCGGGGAACTACTCACTGGTCAGCCTCATTTTGATCCCAGGGAAGATAATAGGAGCAAATAATCCTGGAAGCTGTCTTCAAACACATGAAGGGCAAAAAGGTGACTGGGAGTAGTCCGCATGGATTCACCGAGGGGAAATCGTGCTTGACCAACCTGATAGCCTTCTATGATGAGGTGACTGACTTGGTGGCTGGTGGGAGAGCGGCGAGTATCGCTTTTCTTGACCTCAGTAAGGCTTTCGACACTGTTCCCCGTAACATCCTCATTGACAAACTGGTGAATGGACAGCCAAAACTATTTGAGCTGCCAGGCTCAAAGGACTGTGCTCGGTGGCACAAAGTCCAACTGGAGGCGGGTCACCAGTGGTGTACCCCAGGGGCTGATACTGGGGTCAGTACTGTTTAATATCTTCGATAATGTTCTGGATGATGGGACAGAGTGAAACCACAGCAGATCTCCAGAGGATACAAAACTGGGAGGAGTGGAGGAAATTCTGCTGAAACTCGATAAAACTTTTCTACTGTAAGGGTGATTGAACACTGGAACAAGTTGCCCAGAGAGGTTGTATAGCCTCCATCCTTGGAGACAGTTAAAACTCGACTGGACACAGTCCTGAGCAACCTGCTATAGCTGACCCTGCTTTGAGCAGGGGCGTTGGACTAGGTGCTCTCCAGATGTCCCTTCCAACCTCAACCGTTCTGTGAGAATAGCCACCAATACTCACTTGAGAGGCGGTGTCAGTGAGGCACTGTCTGGGCAAACTCAGCATGTCTGTGCCAAGCGCTGGAGTATTGTGCGTGCTAGTGATGGGCAGGGCCCGTAGCAGGACATTGGTAAGAGACTGGATAATATTTCTGTGCAGTCTTGTACTGTACTATATGGACATGTCATTGTGTTTTGAGTTCTGAATTTTGGGGACTATCCTCCCAGTTTTGCTGTGTTATGTAGCTTGACAGATTTCAAAATCACGTCAGTGGAGAATCATTGTTGAGTGGGCTGTATCTGGAAAAGAATCTAGCTCTAATGATATTCAATACTTTGATTAATGATCTGGAAGTAAATATGCAACCACAAAAGAGAAAATTTGGGGAAACTGGCAGAGAGATTTACAGAGTGAGGGGGCTAGGTGGTCAAATCTCGTGCATTAGTGAAACGGACATACTTACAAGAAAAAGGCACGTACGAAATTAAATGCCAAGAAGCACTCTATATATCTACAAATGGCAAGTTGTGTCCTGGGAAGCAATTGACTGACAGTAGGTAAATAAATCAACAGGTGTTAGCAAAGTTAAGGCAAAATGGGAGACAGTGCTCCTTGGATATGAAAACAGGAGAATAGTGAGCAGAC